CAGGTTCGATCAAAACAAAGAAACAGTGATATTGTCACAGGTGCATCTACGCTGGCAAATCTTTACGGGATTATTTTATATATAATTTTCTTCCACTCTCAGTCACTATAGAACTTTCAAACTCCTTAACAGCCCAGTATCAAGCCCTCTGAATATGCCCAAGACCGGGGTTGACCACCTTTGCCTTACAGCATGACCACCTCAACCAGATGCCAAACCCCACGAGGAGTCCTTTCTGCACGTCACCCGCAGCACAGGGAAGGAAGGTGTCTCCGGCCTCAGAAGAGAGGGAAGGCATGCTACATGAGCAAAGCCTGACCAAAGCAGCCCAGTCAGGTTTAGGAGAGGTGTGCCTACAGACACCGGTGCATGTCTAACCAGCAACATGCAGCCAGGATTCACATCCCCCTCCCCCCGCCTTGCCAACACATTACCCACAAGGGCTTGTGCTGGCAGTTCAGGATTTGGTACCGAAGGAGGACATTTGTATTTGTAGGACACTTGCTCTACTTACCGCAGAAGCTGAAAGGTGTCACCTACCCCCACTGTGGAGAGGGAAGGGAAAGGGTTTCTCTTACCATTTAAAAGCTGTAGAGGGTAGATTTGGACTGGATACAAGGAAGAAATTTTTATGATAAGGGTGGTGAGTCACTGGAACAGGTTGTCCAGAGAAGTTGCAGATGCCCCACCATTGGAAGTGTTCAAGGCCAGGCTGGACAGGGCTTTGAGCAACCTGGTCTAGTGGAAGATGTCCCTGCCTGTGGCAGGCGAGTTGGACTAGACAAGCTTTAAGATCCCTTCCAATCCTTCCAATCCAAACCATTCTGTGATTCTACAGCATGTGACCTCTGCCCTTTCTTATTGTTGATTTTGGTTGTTTTCTAGTTTTTTGTTTTGGTTTGGTTTTTAAACCCTTCTAAATCCTCCCCCCAGCCAGGCAGTGCCGATCCATTAGCCAGGTTTGTACACAAATCTCCTGCCTCATCAATTTTTACTACGGGCCGTACCTCCGTTTTTTCCTAGGGCTTCAATGTGGCAGACAACAATTTAATTTGCCAAGGACTACAACACCTGAATTTAAATAGAAATTAAGTTAAATGTGATCTCTGTATCACAGGCAAACAGGTACAGTCAAACTAAGTCTGATTTTAAATTTGAAAACTCCTCATAGCGCTAACTGCCACAGATCCTGCATTTAACATTCAGATTTAAGCAGCATGCAGTAATTACGGCTTAGAACCACGTATTTAAAATGAAGCAGCAAGAAAAACAGGAAAAACACCAGTACATAAAATTTCTTGCAGCTGCACAATGCTTTAAGCAGAGAGTTGAAAACCTGAGAACTTGCAATCATTACAATATTGAAAACGTTTTTTTACAGTATTTCAAACATTCATTACAGGTTTTTTTTGCAGCCATTTTACTCATATCTAAGACTGTACACATTTACAAAGATTTAGTACTGTGAGTTTAGCCCAAGGTATACACATACCAATAAAATGTTTGTATATAAAAGGTGGTGAATGAACCTCTTAGGGCTCTGCACAAGACTATTTTCCAATCTGCATGAAAGAGCACACAAGAATTGATGAATGAAAGATTACCTACTATTTTAGTGATAACTTTTTAAAAAATGTATTGAAATATGAAAAGACAGACTTTATTTCATACATCACTTTCGCACTTAATTTTACACTTAGCAGTGTGTCCAATATAATTACTCATAATAAATTGCCATATGATTGAATTTTTCTCTTTATCCAGAAAGCATCACCAACATCTGATGTTCTACCGATTAGAATCTGGCTCAATGTCTGTAATGGAATTTTCCACAAAAAAGATCCTGTGTTAATTCTGAGAGAATGATTACAGAAAGAGAACTGTGAACGTGTCTATACCTTCTCTAAAACTGTGACAGAAGAGGAAATAATTCCTCAAGACAATCTTAATTACATGTATACAAAAATGAATCATACTAAATTTCAGTGGCACTTTCAGGAAGTGTGGTGGGATGCTAGGTGGGATGCAGAACACTAAAAGAAAAACATTTCCGGAGAATAAAATAAGTGTTTATGCAACTTTTCCTATGAACTACTTTCCTATTAGATTTTTAAGATAAAGGAAAAACAGTGCCAGAATATTAAGAGAAAGTCTTAAAAACAGCAGCACCATTAGAAAAGACATAATACTGGAAGATAAGGCAACAAAATTGACTGGTGTAAATCTTCCCAAGTAGTCCTGACACTGAAGCATGACTCTCTTACATAGTGAAATCCATATTTTTATTATTTAGTAAATAAATTACTCTTTCAGCAAAAATTTCTAGAAAAGTAAATCAAAGACTGAGCTAGAACTTTCTAAATCCTAGGAACTTAACTCTTAAGATACTTAAGAGGACAAATTCTGAACAAACCCAGTAATTATAGACAGATTTAGTGACTCAAAACACCTGCAATGAGTGAGACAGGATTTATATCACATGCCCAAAACAAACCTTCTCTTTCATATTCAAAGTTAAAGAGTTGGGTGTGGAAAATCAACTGCAGTGAGAATAGCTTGGCTTTGCAAGCAGTATTGTAATAAGTCTCAAACCATAACTACTGCATGGGATTACAGGGAAATTAATCATTTTCAGAGCAAAATAATTACTGTGCACTCCACGTATTTGTTTCCTTCCATGTCAGATAAAATTGAACTGTGGCTCAGCAACTAAAACAGGGAAATTAACACTGAAGCTTATGAGATGCTTTACAACAGAAAGAAGCAAGATGTCCATAATTCAACCTACTAACATCACCAAATAGGAGATGTGCTGGATCATATGTGGAAGACAAAAAGATGAGAAAGCATCAGAACAGAGCAGCAACAGAACACACAAAGAAACAATAGAGATTAATATTTTCAACAAATGGGTAATGAAGCAAATGAAAAAGGCACAAGAGACACATATAAGTGATGGTATGAGAATACGTGGTAAGATGCATAAAATTTGATTAAAATGCATTGAAGAGGAGCAGTAGCTTGAACTAAGTCTCCGGCTGGATTCCACTATTGCAATGTTCATTAAAACTAATACTGCATACCCCAATCATGAAAGACATTAAGAATGACTAGCAAATGCTGACTCAAACTGCACAACTTGAAAAGGTTGCGCAAGCTTGGAAGGAAATCTCTGGAAAGAATGGAAAATAAAATTGGGGGGTGGAATAAACAAAAAAAAAAAAAGACTGAAGAACCAAATTACAGCTGGTAGATGAGCTCAGAGTGTATTAACACGGGATGAAGATCCCACCAGCCCATGGTGTCATTATAGCCTTGACAGCGATGCCAAGATCTTTGGAATCCTCTGTTTGAAACTGGACAGCTAAAACATTTGTACACTTAACTCAAAGTGGTGAATGGCTGAAAATAGATGGAGAATTTGAGTCTTCAATTTTATAGGGCTACCTTAGATTATTAAGTATAGCCCTTCATTGCAACAGCAGATATGCTGACGAAGGTAGTCTTTGATGTGTCCAAAAAAAAAAATCTCATTAACAAGAGACACAAAGTAAATCTTAACAGAGCAGTTACTGTTTAGGCATTTATTTTAAAATAATTTTCATTCACTATCACATCCTTTCCAAAGGGCAGGCTACTTCCTCTAACACATCAAGCTTCTTACACAGCTTGCTGAAAGAAAGAAAACATTATGCCCTTTTCAACTCTGCCCCATGTTCAGCACCTTGAGACGTCCCACTTCTCTGAAAACTACTGCTGGGCAGCTTCACCCTTGCTCTGCACCATCTTCCAAACTGTCCTTCCTCCCAGTCTTAACTTCTTCATTAGCTATACAGAAAATAGGATTACTTTCTAACAACTTCTAAACTGTTCTCCCACCCCTACATAGTACCTTCTCTTGTTTCACCTGCAGACTTATTAACTAAGTTAGACCCATCCCCATCCTTTCACAAGCATTTTTATGAGATTTCTCTCATTTCAACTGCCGCAGTACTGCTCAGACTGTGATTTGGAGAAACTCGCACTGAGATCTCGCATTTCTGTACAACAGGGAAACCATTTGTCCACCCCGTCTCTTCTTTTTTTGTGCAACATAATTTAATGTAGATAAAACCAAACTGGGACATAAGTCACATCTTCCTCTCCATGAAGAAAACTTTCATTCACTAACATAGAACAGCTGACAGAGAAGAAGGACAAATAATATATAAAAAATAAAGATAAAACATTTGAAAAAAGATGTGGTAGAGTAAAATATGGAGGAAGACCCTTCAAAAGAAATACAAGTTTAATATACAGCCCTTGTGATTCATTGAGCAAGTCTGAGGTTAGATGAGACAAAATGAATTTGCAGTACCTTTTGCTAAGAGTAAGAAATAAATTCTCTAGCCATACGCTGCTGATATTACAAAAAGGACAGTGAACTGCCCTCTTAGCTTGGAATGGGACCTGCTCCTTAGGCAATTAAAAAACACATCTAAAGGTCTGCACTGGTGGCTGTAGGATCATGCCTGGAAGGTCACAGCAGAACATGAGAACTGGCCCAGCTGCATGGAAAGAAGTGAACAGGCTGTTCCTCTCTAAAAAACGCTGCATGGTAACTAAAAAGCAGAAGACATTTCTCAAGATGGTAACTTACAACTGAAGCGATGATTAGAAGAGGTAACTTAGACATATGGAGATAAAGATAGCGGTGCCTAGTTGTGTCTGCCAGAAAGATTTTTAGCACCAGGGGTTTTTCGTTTTGTTTTTGGTTTTTTGTTTGTTTGTTGGTTTTTTTTTTCCTCAAAAGGGTGGATACTTTGCAGTTCAGTTTATCCCTTGTGCCCAGGCAGTGGATTTCAACTTTTAAAATGGCAAAGCTGGAGTAGGAGGAAGCTGTTTCTAGAAGGTTTGGAAATTCACAGCCTTTGGAATTTAAAATGCATTTCCTTATATATGCATTAAAAGAGATCCTATTAACTTTATAAACAATACAGAAAACAAAGCACATAGCTTACCTCATAGTAACTTCGCACTGCATTGCAAAACGCTTCATCTGCTACAATTTGTGTCTCCCCGTTCAAAAAGGCCTGGAAACGTTCCTTCAGTATCTGTAGCTGCTGCTTATTGAGCTATGCAAGAAAAAAAGGAGAGGGGAGAGAACAATAATAAACGCAGTTAGTCTCGAAGTAAAAATATGCAGCACTATACACGCTTGGAGATGTGAACAGGGAAGAAAAGGCAGAAGCTCCCCAGCCAGCTGGCTCCCTAGTTGAGTTGCTGCTCTTCAGAGCCCCACCTGGGCAAGCCAGGCTGCTGCAGCGAGCCATGCACGCACTCAGCATGCAACTAAACCTCTGCTCTTTCCGTTGTGTCCTCAGGATGCTACAGGTCAGTCTGCATGGACGCTTCTTCTGAGCAATATTGTATATGTATATGCTGAATGAAATGTCTGAGCTTCCCCATGGCAGCAGCACCAGCTAATAAAATTTAGTTCTTAGCTCCAGTCTTCAAATATTTCATTTTTCCCCCCCCTTCAAATAAGTGAAAAACAACTGAGATGCCTCCATTTTTTTGCAGCAATCTAGGCACTACCATCAGCACGTTTTAATAAGCATGCTCACTGTGAAGAAAATGGACTTCTAGTCACTGATGTTATACCACTACGAGCGATATGAAACAACTAATCTTGGGGAACAGCAGCCACAAGGCTCCAAGACTGACACCAAGTTACATTTGGTGGATTTCATATCAAAACCGTGTGCATTTTGAAAACAGACTCCTTGCAGAGAACATTACATGATTAAACCTTGCAATCGACCCATTTTTATCAAAGTTTAATGTAATGGGAAAAGGCAAAATCTGAAAGTTCTCCGGGGATCCAGACACAGGCCTTTTGCCAAGGTTCCTATCAACTCTTGAAATGTTTAGTAAGATATTTCTCCTTATCAAATCTGTGAGAAGTTAGAACGTCACATCAAAGGAGACTGCCAGTAACACACTACTATAACAAAGCAACAGTTAAAAATAGTTGTTTTGCTTTCACAGAACTTTAAAACTAACGTAAAGCCTTTATTCCAGTGAGTATTCCTGAACTTTAACATTACAAAAATTCAAACACAACTGATTGAAAAGTCTTTTCATCCTTCCTGTATTTTGTTTAGTTAAAAATAAACAAATAAACAAACACAGAGCAAGAAACTGAAAATATTTTTCCACAGGGCAGAGTTATATTTGTAATGGCCAACCTGCAACAAATATCATTGCCCCGATGGCGTCTTCGTTTCTTACAGAAGAACTTTTTGGCATCTACAGTAAGTATGGTGACCTTAGGCTTTCAGGTCTCTAGCGTCAACACTTTGAAGCTATTGAAACTACAACACTGTTGCAAGATTAGCAAAACTACTGCTACCCTGATAATGTATCCTTGGATAATCTCCATTTCCTTTATATTAAGGGAGGATTTTCATCCTACATTAAGTTTGCTAAATTTGTCAAGTCACGTGCTTCTATGAAACATACAGCAATTTACTGCAAAACCCCTCCAAATTGAATGCAAACCTGAAAGCTGTTCTGTTTTCACAGGAAACAATAGCATAGATGCCATCTAAATACCTGACATGAGAAACCCTCCGAAAAATGGCAAAATGTAGGCAGTAGCAATGCAAAGCCAAAAGAACTATGCCTTTGAAAAAAATCCAAGCTAGTTAAAAATACACGGTAATTCTGCTCCTCATCTTAAGGAAACTATTAGCAATACAGAACAAGGCCCAAGAAACCCCTACAGAAGACAAGGCCTCCTGCTGAGGCAAATAAACATCACCAAGAGGTTGCTGTGACTTGGACAAATTTCCTGCATGAGCTCTTGAGAGAGCTCAATGGGAGAGAAGTATTTGTATCATGCCTGCACATACACCAAAAATGACATCCATCCACCTGCCTGCCGGACATCCACTCCTTGCAGAGTCTGCAGCACGAAGGTTAGCTGTTCCTAACAGAAACCAAACTCTATTCCCAGAGACACAGGACAGGTCTTTCCCTTTACTCGATTCCCCTCATTCTTCGCCCATTTTCTAAAGATACTGGACAAGACGAGGTATCGCAAAATGCAAAGCATTAAGGATGGTTTGAGGTTTTTTTCAGCACACACTTGTTCTCATAGGGGACTCAAAAAAGAGCCGAGCACTCCCGTGGACGATGCAGCACTGCTGAGCGGGCAGCTCCTTCATCCCATGGAATATTCACAGCTCTGCCACGAGAACATGCAGGCTTCCTGCCAAGGCAATTATGGAAATGTGCTTTCATGCTTGCGGACTTCATCCTTTAGGTGATTTGCTTCTCTATTACCCACATATAAAACAAAAACATTATGAATAAGGCAATGAAATACAAATTTAATTCTGACTTCCCAATTTCTAACCATCATAGTTCAGCAAACTGGAATGCCTTTAAAATATTTATATATGGCTTTCATATTCACTTCTTCAGGTAGTAAGTAATTCTAAGGGTTGAGTGGCATTTTAGGATTACTGTACATTTCTTAAATTATGGTTTTAGTGCGAAATTTGGATGCATAGGGGAATAAAGTTCTCCTGCAAAACTAAATAATAATAATAATTCCAGTGGAAAATACGAAAAGCTACTCCTTGCACTAAGGACGATCTGAAGTCTACTTTATAGGTCCCAAGGACTGTCATATATAGAGATGCAGTTGTGTTAATTGCCACAATGCAGAATAATTTACAGTAGTCTGCTGTAGCATACCATTCCTCTGTTTTTTTTATTTGTCAGAATATTGAGTGTACAGTGAATTCTCACTCATCTTTTGTTTCCTTTTTATGCTGGTCATTTTTAATGGATTCATTAATACTCTTCAATTTGCAGCCAAGTGCCTTTAAAAATGAAATGAAACGAAACAAAACTAACAGTAAAAACAGTAGCTTAGAAAAATGCAGAGAAAAAAGGGAAGTCTAGTTGCATTAGAATGTCGTAATAGCAAATGGAGAGAAACAGGTGTCGGTACAGGACATTAACTCTTGGACACTGCCAAACAGCTAACCCTGTCCGAGTCTGGTCTACCTTTGAAGTTGTCCATCTTCGTTAACAAGCCACAAGAGATGAGGACATCGTGCATAACCAGAATCCCAAGTGAAATCCTTAAATTTAAGGGCAATAAGCGTGATCAGATTCTCTCTGGTAGGAGTTCACATAAAGGAGCTCCAAATCCTTCTGCAGTAGGATTACCTTTCCACTGCACGTGCCCTTTCCTCTGCGCAAGACCCAAACACATCAGACCTTTACTTTCAGTCCCTCACTACTTCTTTACATCCTTACTGTCAGTGCCTCTGCACCTGCATTTTAATTTTAACAGAAAGAACCATGAAGAGCAAAATTAAAATAAAAATAAAAATTGACATTACTACACATACCCCCAAATGTAGACTGAACTCTGAACATCAGCTGAAGCGTACAGCGAAGCCTCACTGATTCTGTTGCTTTCCATCATCCTGCTTCAGTTCTGTATTGCTTATTCAGATTTCGCATTCTCAATGGTACGAGATCTGTTGTCGTAACGCTGTGCAATACTTCATAAATAACTACTGCTGCTTCATGGGAGAATTTATAACTAAATTCCAGCAACTCAGAATATCAGGTTTGATTGCATTCTGCAGAATGAGTGAAGATAAGCAAAGACAACTTTAAAGGAAAACAAGATTAACTGCCTTTAAATTTGCTTTTTCTTTATTGCAGCCATGCAACAGATAGAAATTTTTCTTCCCCTCCATCCCTGTGCCTTTCACAAAAGGTAACATTTATTTTTTATTTTACATTTGCTAACCTTAGTAGACTACACCAAAGAATGAAAACACATATTTAAGATAGAACAAACTTCTCAAAGAGCTATTTAATTAAATTAAGGATAACTTTTTTCAAGTTACAGTAGCAATTTAACTTTTCATAATTTACAGAGTAATACAAAGGTATCAAAAGAGCCTTAAGCACTTAACTAAAAAAAAAAAAAACAACTCATCTTGCATTTAACATTTCAAAGAAGTCTCATATATCCCAATATGCTCCTCTTTGAGCACTAATTTAAAGATTTGCTTTTTCCCTTCTAAAGTGAAACTTGGGTATGAAAACCTACAGGCATTTCGGGTTTAGCTCCACTCATACCTTTAAACAAGTTTAATAAATGCATTTTACACAGAGTTTAAATTCTTATTTTTATAAGTAGCATTTCAAAGAGGTCTGGCAGTTCAGGGAGTTGTTCCATGTCACAGGGTTTAGTTCATTAAATAATAAACTCCAACATTTTGAAGGAAAAATGAAGCATGTATGTATTTGTAACAGTAATACCCTGTCTTTTCTTTGAAAGAAGGGAAGGTAAAAAATAACCCTCTAGCTTCACAGAGTTTGATGCTAGGTTTCGAGCGTTTTCATCTGCTTCCCACTGCCTAAGTAGACAGAGCAGCTCACTACTGCCCTAAACATATGCAGCTGCAGCAGCTGGCAGAGCCATAACCCACAGCACAGCCGTCCCTTACAAAACTTTGGCCTTTAAAATGAAAACGCTTCGAACGTGGCCTGTGTGTTGGCCACAACCAGCCTCCCCCCCATGCCCTGGCACACGGCGGGCGCTGGCTTGCAACCACAGCCCCCCTGCCAGTGCAGCCAGCCGAAGAGCTGGCACTGGAGGGAGAACATTCCGAACCATTGCCACCTTGTGGCAATTTTAGAAACCTAGCAAAGAAATAACGGCAGGTCGCACGTCTTCGCGCTCGGAGCTGGGACCTGTGCGAGGATCAATAAGCCCCTAACCTTAACACAAGCAACAGCATTGCTGCTTCGCCGCTCCCACGCTGTAGTGTGAAATTACCCTTTCTCGGACCATATGGGTATTTTAGGAAAATAGCGGGAGGTGATGACTGCAATTCCAGAGCGAGCTAGATAAAATATTTCTTATGCAGACCATGAGAAAGGGGTAGGGAGGAGCCAAGCAAAGAGCCACTCTCCGAACTCTCAGCTATAATGCATATCATCTGCAGCACCAAACATGACTGAAGGCCCCAAACGCTGCCTAAAAATAAGAAGCTTCATTATTTCAAAACTATGCCATTTTGTCCAA